AGGGATAGGCAGGGTTGGTGGGCAGAGAGAATAAGTAGGAGGAGACATCTAGGGTGGAGGGAGAGAAATAAGGACAAGGAGAGAGAAAATGAAGGCGAAAGAGAGGAGACTCCTGGGGCCAGCCAGGCAGCCTGCAGCCAGCCAGACATGAAGTAGGACACACAGAATGAAAGGTAAAAAGCCCCGGGCAAAACGTAGATAGAAACAGTTTAAGTTATAAGAGCTAGGAGGACAAGCTTACGACAAGGCCGAGCACTCAGAATTAACGATAAGTCCTCGTGTCATGATTTAGGAGCTGGTTGGTGGCCCAAAAGAAAGCCTGCTGTCCTGAACATGGTGAGGACAAAGTGTATCTAAGGAGGGGTGAGGACTCTCCGACAAACAGGCTGCTGCTGAGCACACAAGAGCAGTGACAGGGCCCTCCTGTGACACCCAGATATGACACCTTGGCATTGGAGAAATGAGAAGGCCACGGTCACCTTCCCCTCGCTCCTTCCCTAAAGCAGGTTATAGACAGTCAGTGCAGTCCAACAGTGGCTTGACAGGTAAAGGCACTTGCTGCCAAGCTGCCAAGCCACGTTCAGTCCCCAAGACCCACAGGGCAGCAGAGAACTGACCTGGCTCTCCACGTGTGCACTGTGGCAAGCACACATTCACATATGAAATAAATACAACCATAAATAAATAAAGGCATGGGGCTGGAGAGATGGCTCAGTGATTAAGAGCACCGGCTACTCTTCCAGAGGACCTGGGTTCAATTCCAGCACCCACATGGCAGCCATCTATTAATTCCAGGAGATCTGATGCCTTCTTCTGGCCTTATGGGAACTGCATGCACACAGTGCACAGACATCCATGAAGGCAAAACACCCATACATACAATAATATAATATAATATAATATAATATAATATAATATAATATAATATAATATAATATAATATAATATAATATAATATAATATAATATAATATAATATAATATAATAGTATAGTATAGTATAGTATTGTATAGTATATAATTAAATATAATATAATATAATATCCCACAAAAACAAAACAACAGTAGCTCAATCCTCAGCTGAAAGGCAGTCTTCCATATCCAAAGGACAGAAACACTCTTACCTTTGGAAACACAGAGACATGAAGAATTTGAACAAACAAATCTTGCTAAGTCCCCCCAGTAGACCCATCAGATGGTCCCGTTTGTCCTGCACCCACGCTTCCCCGTGACTGACCACACGGTGTCCACCTAAGCACCGAGGACACAGGTCCCTCCGAGTCTCAGAAGTGCACACTGCCTCTCTCTGTTGGTTTGTTCTTAGTTGGGGGGGCTCCGGGTGAATTGTAACGGGTGAAAAGAGACCCCCACACACACTTTATACGCTCTGACAGTTGGACGTAACTCCACAGACACTGACAGGAGAGGATGAGAATTGGCTGGCTGGTTGCCTCCTGGGTCGAAAGGGAGGATAAGGGATGGTGACGTTAGAGCCACCAAACAGTAGATGAGCCAAAACAAACTCAAGAAAGATGATGATGATGATAACAGAAACTGAACGGCGGCGGCCACACAGAGGAACAGGGGCTTCAAGCTCTTCTGTTATTTCAAGCAGAGAATCGATGGTGTGTGAGAGAAGGAGGGCGTGAGGTGTTACCTGAACACCGGCCCGAGGAAATGATTACAGCCAGTGTACGAATTCCCGCAGTCTGGAGAGAGGTGGG